ATATATATATATATATATAAGAATTAAAAAGGAATATTTTAAACTATAAAAATTAAGAGATAAAGTAAGTGAAATTATATAAAATAAAAAAGTTTTTAACCTTTATAATTACTCATGTAAAGAATAATGCTAACAACTAGGAGTGGATTAGCTCAACCTGTTTATAGCTTGATCCATAAAGCTAATATTTTTAAAGTGTTAGATAAGTCTAGTTTGCAAAATAAATGGTCTTTTTTTGTCCATATTCACTGACGAAACCTACAATTAAACGGGCAAGCATGTGAGCACAATAAAAAAACTAAAAATAATATTTTTTTCCTCCCTTTTTTGATGCTAAGAAAATATGAGGGAGAAATATGTGACAACCTCTATCCCACATGTCATAATACATAAATAATAAAAATTGAATAACATAACTCTATAAATAAAACTAAATGTGTTCAAGTAGAAAACATCACATTCTTAATTTAACAACATAAAATAATCAACTGAAATTACAAGGAAATAAAACTAATATTTTTCAAAATAATTTAATAGAACAATATCCTAATCTAGTCCTAATTACATCTCGATGTCACATGTTCTATCAAAGCAAAATCCAACACTGAAGCCTAAATCTCATCACTAACATCTTCAACCACATGTTGATAATCACCTACATAACAATCAAGTAAAACAACACAAAGCAAAGGAAGTGAGAAACATTTCACTCTGGCTCAAGGTGCAAAAATGCAAATTGGATAACTAAACGCAAATAAGACATACAACAATACCTAGTCATATACACACTCCATTTATACAATAAAATGATATTAATAAATAATTATCATGATCAATATAATAACTCATTTATCATCATTGACACAATTACTCATCCATGACACACTAATCATAATTAATTCATTCACATGCAAGTATGGAATGCAAAGGGCACAAACTCTCAATTTGCATGCATGTGGTACCAATCTCAAGATATACGTGTAGTGCATATTAAATGATTTGTCAATTTACTTGCATATAATGCATATTAAACAAACTCGATGCAATAACATATACATGCTCTCACTTCACATATAACATGTTTCTCAAATATCATGATCAATACAATAATTCATTTATCATCATTGACACAATTACTCATATCCATGACACACCAATCATAATTAACTCATTCACATGCAATTATGGAATGCAAAGGACACAGACTCTTAATTTGCATGCATGTGATACCAATCTCAATATATGTATAATGTATATTAAACAATTAGTTGATTTACGTGCATATGATGCATGTTAAACAGTCTCAATGCAATAATATACACACGTTCTCACTTCACATATCACATATTTCTCATATCACCTCATATATCTCATGTACATTCTCAAATACATTAGCTAGCCATTAATAAAAAGGTAGTATCAAGACCACAAAGGTAAAACAACCAATTAATAGTCGCTACCCAACAACATCTAGATGAGCTATCAACAACCTCTCCTTAGCAACTACAAGTTACTCACAACCAATTTCACACATAAACACATATACAATTAATAAAACTGTTTTATAACATGCAATTAACATTTCAAATCACTCAATTTACACATATCAATTAATAGTTTACAAATTATCACAACAAGTTCCCTTATGGTTTCTCATAGAAACCTCAAATCATATAGTTACAACCCAAAACATATAATTGATCATACATAAACATTAGGGGAAATCCTTCATATATAGGCATACATCATACACATTATTGGAGGCTAATCCCACTACTCAGTGTACAAACTCACACCCAGAGTGAGGTTTCTTGTGATTCCCTCTACCCCAACATTAATACACAATAAATGTAAACTATACTTTTCTAAGTAAATAAAATCTTTCAAAGTTGATAACATCTTTCATGGATAAAACAAGTGTCTCAAATATCATAAGGTAGAAAATTCACTCACAACTTATAAACCATAACTCTAATGTAGAAATTACAAAAGAAAAGAAACTAAGGTTTTCAAAATAGTTTAATGAAAATAACATCCTAGGCTAGTCCTAACTACACCCTGATGTTAGATGTCCTATCAGAGCATGCTCAATTGAAGCCTAAACTTTGTCACCAACATCCTCATGTTGATGGTCACCTACAACACAATAAAAGACATACATAGAGCAAACAGGGGAGTGAGAAACATCTCACTCAAGTTAAGGTGCATAAATAACGG